ATACCACCGTCTCTCCCTCATCTTCTCCTGTGCCCCTCCCCAAGTCCACTGATAGGGGAGATCTTTCTCCCTTTCCATCTGAACCTAGCTTATCAGGTCACATCAGGACTGGCTGCATTGTCTTTCTCTGTGGCCTGGCAAGGATGCTCCCTCAACAGGGGGAGGTGATCTGAGAGCCAGCCACTGAGTTCATGTCAGAGACAGTCCCTGTTCCCATTACTAGGGAATCCACTTGGAGACTAAGCTGCCATGGGTCACATCTGAGCAGGGATTCTAGGTTATATCCATGCATAGTCCTTGGTTGGAGTATGAGTCTCAGAAAAGACCCCTGGGCCCAGATTTTTTAACATGATATTTTCAGCTTATGGTGGTTATATCAGGATGTAACCCCATTATAAGTTGAGGAGCATCTTTATCTCTACATAGAAAAGACTAACAGCATTGGTTGCTTGATTAGAGACAAGACATCTGTGGTGATCTGTACATTCTAATTACTACATCACTGACAAAACAGTACATTAAAAGTTTCAGACAGTGAAACAATAATGTTGCGAAAGGGCATCTCTCCAAATACAGCAGAATGACATTTCAGAGATAAATGAGGAATTGGAGAGGTGCACGCTTTTCCCTTTCATTATCACTATTGCTATATTTTTATAAGGTGGGATAATTCTAATTTTTCCAAACTCCATTTTCACTGCACCCTAACCTGTGCATCATGGAACATGGAGAGCAAAGCATATTGTTGGACATCAGAAGCCAAAAGAGGCCAGGTGTTGAAATGGATGTTTGCTGGGAGAATGACACCATTCATTGTTGATCATGGGGTATGGGAAGAACATGAGAAGACCAGAATTCTCAGCTGCCATCTGTTACTAACTAGATGTATGACTTGGGGGAGGTGATTTTCCTTTCTTTAGTGGTGGTGTCCTTGTCTGCAATCTGTCCAGCAAAGAACTGGTAAAGAGTGTAAAAGTGAAAAGATTCTGATACAAAATGAGCACTTTGAAAACATGGTGACAGATGCCACTAATCTAAGAGAGTTAAAAACTTGTGAGTTCAAGGACAGGCTGGGCAACATAATAAGGCTAGTAGCTCAAGAAATGAAAACAAGTACGCAAAAGTGAACCTTTTGAAAGCTCCTGGTGGCAGCTCTGCATTTTCAGTCTTGAGAGTTTCAGCGTCCTCTGTAGATGACCCAGTGGGAGGTAAACTGACTGTGGACTGCTATGTTGGCCCAGAGTAAAATGATTACATTCCAAAAAGGAATCCTATATGAGGCTCAGTGGTGTGGCCTGGTCTGGTCATTGGTCAGCAGCACCTGTAAAACTTACACTGTATGGTCTAAATGCTGTACCTCTCTTCTGATTTCCATCTCCTCTTGTCAATCTGACTCACTGTCAACACTGAAGAAATTACTTGCTCCTCGCTGAAAGTCATTGCCAGAGTGGTTTGGCTCTGCTGCTTGGACATATCCCACCCCATCTGTTCCTCCACGAAACAGAAGGTTGGCTGCCTGGCTTCAGATCTAGGCAACGCAACAAGAGCAAGCAGAACTGACACAACTTCCAAGCTGAAGGTCTCCTGAGCCCCTCGCTGACCGGGCTTCACTGGATCTCAGTAGGCTCTCAATACATGAAAAGTCGGAAGGACTAATTGTGCATGCTTTGACCTGCTCTCTAACTCCAGCTTCTCTGACCCACCTATGAGTCATGCATTCTCTCTGTGGAGAAAAGGAGGGTGGGCAAGTGGGTGAGCGCTATCTGCATGTGTGTTCATGCAGACACACATGATGCAAGAGGAGGGTGGTCATGTGTCATTATTGTTCTCTACCTTCTTTCCTTGAGACAGAACCTGAAGCTCACCTTTTCAGTCTCACCTAGTTTGGTTATTTAGCAAGCTCAAGCTCCGGGCACCCTAACATTGGAATTATAGTCATATGCAGAGGATACTCTGTGCTGGAAAGGGGAATTTAAACTCAGGTCCTTATATTTAAAGAAAAAATGCTCTGCTCACCGAGTCATCTCTCCAGCCCTACCACTTGCATCTTCTCTGTCCTTGACCTAGCCTTGTTCTTTGAGAGGGAAATATTGATGACATTTAAGGGTTCCGAGGTTATTTCACCGGGATCCCCATATGACTTGACTTTTATGCCACAGTAACTGCATGGACCACAGGTGAGTCCAGTCACATCCTGTGATTATTGCATCGCCTCACTTCAACAGCATATCACCATCCCCAGTTTCATTTACAGACGCTGTGAGCTCCTGGGTCCTTACTGGGACATTTTATCTTTCCCTGTGTGGCTCTAGGATATAGCACAGTGGTACAAAGTAGATTCTCTCTCTCTCTCTCTCTCTCTCACACACACACACACACACACACACACACACACACACTATAATAACTTGTAAGACTTGAGTCAAAGAAAGATCGTCTTTGCAAAACCTGTTCATTTGTAGATCTAAATTGGATATATTATTAGGTACCGAGTCACAATATTTTCACTTGTAAAGTAGAAATAACAATAATAGCGTCCACTTTGTGAGCTTCATGTGGGTGAGGTTTAATGAGGAAAAAAATGTACCACATGAACCATAGACAGGCTGGCACATAAACACCCAAGCAACACATGCAAGTTGTTATTAATTTTCCCCATGAGGCAAACTTGACACAGCTTGATTTTTGCATTTTATATTTCTTCAAAAAATAGAAAATCAGACTCTTCAGAGACATATACTCTTTCTTTCTTGCAGCTTACATCTGGCCTCAAAAATAGCACAAAGAAACTAAAAAAAAAAAAAAACTGCTCTGTAACTATATATCTTACTGTCATTAGATCAAACAATTCCAGAAAACCGAGCAGAATAGCACCGTCCATGCTGGGTGTTGCTACCACCATTCACAGTGCAACCAAGGAAGTGCAAGGGCAACTCAGCAGGAAGTATATAAAACACTTTTCTTTGAACTCCAGAGCAGAGTGCCTGAACTTTGATAGACAGTATTCTACAAGGTGTGAAGAAGGCCCCAAAGTGTCTTATCACAGGCACGGAATGCCAGCACTATTCCTGAGGACAAAGATAGCCTAGGGCAGAAAAAAATATTCAGTGACAGAATAAGAAAAAAAGAATTCCACCTATCAAAACCAATGGGAGATCAGCAAAAGAGCTATGCTACAAAGGAATGCAGTCCATGCAACCATCAAGAAGGAATCTGAAAACTTTCTAATTTAATACTGATAATTAACCCAAATAACAAGAAGTTAAAAGGAACTGTTTAAATAACAAGAAGTTAAAAGGAACTGTTTTAATCTGTAAGATACCATGTATGGCAAACAAAAGACACTTATCTCAGAATGCAAAAATGGCAGAGGCTTAGGAAGGATCCAAACATAGTAGCTATGATAGAAGATCATGGGTAGCTACTTGAGAATGCATTTATTCAGGCCTCCTATTGTGAACAGCCTGGGTATAGTATTCAGCATGCATTCTCTACATCAACTTCACTTGTATTACACCAACTGCTCCTTACATAACACAGAGAGAGTCCTCACTTAATAGGTAAAAGATTGGGTACCTGCAAAGTCCGAAGGAAAAAAAAAGCAATGCTCCTTTTGCAGTGCATCAGCAAATCAGAAATATTCATGATTATACACCAGGGTCTAATGAATGGAAATTGCACTGTGGAATCATCAGTGTGACAGATATGAATAAGGTTCTCCAGACAGGTTCTGTGCTCAGACAGGGGCTATCATTTCTATAGGTCTGGAGTTAAAGCAACTTTCCAGTACATCATTGTGAACTGAGGGTGTGCAGTAAAAATGGAGTGGGACTAATTGGGAAACCTTCAACTCTTTGGAAATGTGTATATCAATTTCTTTCCCCCATAATTTATACAGCATTTTGACTGTGGTGCTTGACAATAAATAACTGAAATGAATTCTAACTGTTCAGAGAGTTAGTCTCATATCTTTGCCAACACCTTTCATATTTTCATGGATAGGCCGTGATCAACTTAACATGTAAAACAGACATGTTATTTTGGAGGTGAAAAAGAAGGGAATAGATCTTTCACATTGGGAATTGAATAGCAGATCGTATTCAAAGTGCAGCATTTATTGTCCAGTACTGAATACATAAAATATATGACTATTACAATTCACCTTCCAATGGCAAAGCCTTGCTCTTGTAGTGACATATCTAATTACTCAGTTAGAGTTTCTAGTATGATGACAGCATCTTTCATCTTCTAGATGCAGGCCAGCATAAAGCCCAGATCCTTAGGAAAGAGAGACTGTAAGTAAAGCTCAGTTATTCACAAAACAGCTTCAGCTACCTTGGAGAGAGAACTGCATAACTAAAAGTTTCTCATCTCCAAGGGGAACACACCACTTCAAAATGCCATGTTCTGCTGAATCCAAGAGGAAGAATTAGTGAAAGCTGTCTTCTGGAACCATGTTAAAGACATAAATATCTGACCGATACAAGTTCTGGCTATACAAAAAAAGACATAGGACATTGTACATGCTGGTTGTTTTGAAAAGAATAAATATATCATGTCATCAGTGATACAATTAAAATGTAAGTGTATTTAAACCAATAAATTTATGAACTGGTTTTTCAGATCCTTCTAATTCAACTCCAAATCTCAAAACACAGATTTTTATACACTGCACAAACTATAAAGTGATTACCCAGTGCCACTTATTTAGTTTTGAACATCTTAGAATTAAGCTTGCATTGCCTTTCCAGACATAGGTCATTATCATTTACCTTTGCAAAATTTTCTCCTAGCTTTTCCTCCCCCTCCTTCTCCCTTATACCAGTATCACCTACATAGATACTGTTCTTTTAACTCCCACTGTCAGGAGCACAAAAAAAAAAAAAAAAAAAAAAAAGCATCCCACACATCTTCGCTGAATGGCTATGAATGAATGACAAAATGAGGACACATGAGTTTGTGGTAACTATGTGAGATGTACAATAGCACTTTTCACTTACTTCCCACTCTTAGATGTGCTCCGGGTCTTTGTAGACAATGGAGAGTTCGCACCTGAGTTGAAGTTTGAAGAACCCCATCTATCCTTACTATGCCCACCGAACAAAAATATATACAAAGAACACAGAAATAAAAGCAATTAGTCATTTCATTCAACAGTTGTCAAGACCTCTCTCTCTTTCTCCCTTACCCTTCCCTTCTGCCCCCAAACTCTCTCAGTATAGTTTTTATCTAGTGATGTCCTTCAATGTCAAAGACAGTGGGAACCATTAGTCAAAGTCATATAAAACTGTCCTTTAGATATTCAAAATGTGACTTGTTAGGTTTCATTAATGGTAGCACCATAGCCCAAGCTCCCAGGAAGGCTCTAGTGAAAAAAAAAAAAAAAGATGTAAAATATTTAGTCAAAAGAGAGTAGTTTCTCACCAACAAAACAAAAGACGCTTACATTTCCAGCCACTGGGGTGCCTGTTACCCCAAGTTCAGTTCTGAAGCTGCTGATTCTCAGTGAGGGATATGAATGCCAAGTAACTCCAAAATTTCTTTGGAAGATATTATCATCAGATGAATTAATTTTCACTCATAATATTGTGAGGGAAGGCAATGAATTGAGATATCCTTTCAAGAGAAATACCACTTGCTTCATGAGTAATTGAATTTAAGTTTCCACCTTCAATAACTCCACAGCTTATGTCAAACCTTGGAAACAATTACTAAATAAATCACAAGGAAGGTCTGCTTAATCTCATCGGGTTAATAAATGAAGGCAAATCAATCACCTCAAGGTACACAAAGAGGCATAATTGATTGCAGTCTCCTTGATTACTTTATTCTACTTCCTTTATCAAACTATTTTACCATTATCTTCAATTCAGCTGCTTTGCCTTGAAATTAATACTTTACTTCATCTTCAGATTTCCATGGAATCCAGTTTGAAGCCTTTCTCTTCACTTGATGTGTGGAATTAATTTTTTTCCAATCTCATAAGAATTTTTCTCTTACTAAAATCTACATCAGCATAACCTCTTATAAACAGCGAAGGTAAATCATGCCTGTCTTGTTTAAGGTAAATACTAGGACCTTCTTTTATATGTTTACATTCCTTTAGTTAGTTTATTGTGTGTGTACACTCAAGTGTGCCATAGCATGTGCATAGAGGTCATAGGAAAACTTGTGTGACGTTAGTTCTCTCCTTCTACTATATGGGACCCAAGGGATATATTCTCGGCATTATGCATGGAAGCAAGTGCTCTTACCCATCTCATTAGCCCAGGACCTTCTTTTTTAATTGAAAATTTATTTTTTTATTATTATTATTGTGTGTGTGTGTGTGCTGGTGTGTGTCATGGTATGCATGTGGAAGTTGGGACAAACTTTCAGTTTGTTTTTTTCTTCAGCCAAAGATTCCAGGATTAATCTGAGGTTATTGAGTTTACTCAGGAAGAGTTTTCACCTGATGAGCCATCTCACTTAAGGGCCCCAAACCTCCTATTGGTAAAGAGTAGTATCTAAGGGAAGAATGTCAAACAGCTTTTGAGGTTCTTACGAATCTTTGAAGTCCTTGGAAAGTAAGTATCTCTGTGTAGCAGCATTTCTGTGAATGCTGAGAGCGTACCATTCTATCCTACAGTCACTGGCTTCAAATGATCACCAGGGTGTGATTGGAATAAGAAATAATGAGGGGTCCCTGGTGATTGCAAAGGTAATAAAGATGTATAGGCACAAACACTAATCAGGAGGAGTCGATATTAGCAAAAGCTCCAGCAGTTTGGATTGAGTGTCCACAAGGGCCCAGACCAGCTCTGTAAAGTGGGAGCCATGAAAGTGAGCTCTGATTCTGTAGCTTGATGTGTAGCTCTGCAGTTAAGTGCTAGGAGTCTAAACAGTGAAGTACTGGGGACACCACTTATGTGTGCTTCTCACTGACTCATCAGCGTGGGCTACATACTAATAGGGACTGAGGAGCTTATAGAGTGCTGCCCCTACTCATCCATTATGACTTCTTGTCAAAAAAACCTCCTTATGCAGTTCAAGGATGAATACCAGTCACTCTCCCTGTCCAGAACCAAGGTCAGAAATTGACTGCCACAGTCCAAATCTGGACAAAAGATTCTGGGCCAGAAAGAACAATCAAAGGTATGTATGAAAATGTCCTATGGAGACCTGTTAACTTTGTATGGTAATAAACAGCAGAGGGAAGGAAAGACTTGTGGGAAGGAAGGAGAGAGGGATGGAGAAAAAGAAGGAAGGAAGGTAAGAAAGAACGCTAGTTTTTATTCAGAAGCATTCAAAATTACTGCTTTCAAAAAGTGGGTGCAGTCTCCTGCAAAGGATGCAATAAGCTTCCTGTTGCAGAGCACAGGCAGAGGCTGGGGTTATGGCTCAGTTGAGAGAATACCTGCCCAACATGTATGAATCTCTCGGTTGGATCCCCAGCAGGAACCCTTGTGTTGGTGTATGCCTGTAAATTCTGGCACTGAGAAGATGGAAGAGGGAGGATCACAAGTTCAGGATCATCCTCAGCTGCAAATCAACCTGGAGGCCAGGATGGGCTACAAGGGGCCCTGATTCAAAGGGGGGGAAAACACAAGTAGGTCTCAGCCACCCCACTTCAATATTCCTTAGCACTGGGTCCTTTCCAATCCTTCACTCACACAGTAGGCAATGGGAAATTTGCCTGGAAGCACTCTCATATCAGAGATCTCTTAAATCATCCTGTGCACACTTACAAAGACAGATTAAATGCTCATCTAAATTTAGGCATCCATGTCCTTCTGAATAAAACAACACCTACTCTCACTACTAAATTCCCACCTCTTTGCTGTGGAAAGGAAGGTCTTTAAAATTTGCATTACAATTGATCCTCAAGGAAGAGTGGGGCAGTATGGCAGGGCTTCAGGGGGAAACAGCTGCCTGCCAGGGCACCTTTGTGGTCATCTGCTTCTCTGGTTATCCTGGAACATCAGACCTACTATCAAATCCCAGAAGTGCACTTCTGAGAGGAATGAAAACAAAAACATTCTCAAAAATAAGGCACACAGGGAAGTTGTGGCACCGATGCTAGAGGTGAAAGTACTCAAATGTCTCTAGATGTGTTCTGTGCAAATAACAGATGGATTCCCAGTAGGAAATGGATCAGAAAGGGGAATGGGCAAGAAGAACTTCTGGAAGGCCTGAATCCTAAGAGGACAATTTTTGTAGCTATACTAAGAATGGTTGTTAAAAGAAAAAAGGTGGCCAAATATTGGCTAAAAGGAACCATCCTTCCTCCTCTCTGAGATCTAGGCTGGGTAGATAAACCTGGGCAAGATGCTGTAAATCTCAAACCTTGAGACACGAAGAATGAAAGCAGTAATTCTGCGGGCCTTGAATTTTCTTAACATGCCTCATAAGAGATAAGAGAAAGTATTGGAGCAGCAGACTACTGGGAACATTAAAGATCTGGAAAGACACAGGTCAACGGCCCACATATTAAGATTCTGCCAAAAATCCTAGTCACTGTAACATCCAGCACAATCCCAGGGACTTACAGGAATGTCTCCTTGCTTCACAGCAATATGGATGGTCATTTGTGGCATAGGGGACTGCATGGATTTTGACCTAGCTCCTAACCTACACATCTGAAACAGACAGGCTCAGTAGTCACTCCTTTGATCCATCTGTTTCTACACCACTTGTCAGCCCTTTTCACTTTCATCTCCTCTTTAAACTGTAATCTTGAAAACTGTGGTTGAGACCCCAAAAGATCAGGATCTATTCTTCTTGGGCCCCACCTGACTCATACCCTTTTCTGAGATAAAATTCTGGCTCGTCTCTGGGTCTCATCAAAGGCTTGTGAAAGTAATTCCAGGTGAGTTTCTGATAAGAAAAGTTAATACTTGCCAGTCCTGCTTTAACTGCCTGGTGGGCTGTCCTCACTAACTATTAATAGCAAGGATACTTTTTTTTCCCTACAGGCTGCAAACAAGCTCCAAAAGTCGGAAGGGTACAAAAGAACATCCAGCAGTGTTGTGCACATTCAGTTTAAGTAGAAAAAAGTGTGATAGACCCAAATTTGCAGCATTCTCAAAGGGTTCCTTGGTGGGGCAATTTGACATCCATTATAAGAAACCAAAATGGCAACCAGACCCATTCTTTCTGTTTTGTTTGCTTGGTTGGTTGTTTTGTCTTGCCAGAAATATAATTATGAACAAAGAACTTAGCAGTTGAAAACACACTTCATTCACTTTTTTAAATTGATGTTTTGGATTAATACTAGATCCTCAAAAATTCATATGTTATGTAGGTCATACCCTCTACCAGTCTACATCACACAGTGATTTAACCCATTTTCTTGATGGGTAGTGAGCAGAAATATGCATTGCTCATAAGATATCATAAGCTCTTTTTGGAAACAATAAACCTAATGTCCAAGAAAAAGTTTGCTTCTGAAGTTACTGAAATTATAAAAATCAATTTCCAGAGTTCTAATAACCTGATATTGTGTTTCAGGTGCCAGGCATGGTCTAGTGCAGACCACTGTCACCATATTATTTTTTGGCACTGAGTATATGGTTCCATATTATTGCTTCTATTTTATTGCTTTAACTGTTAAGTCAGTCAATGCTTGGTACGATTTAAGCATCATTTCTCTTTGGGAAAAGCCATGTTGAGGGTTGGTATACAAATTAATGGCACTGGTGGGTGTGACACTTTTAACAGGAACATTTGGATCAGAGGGCCAGAGCCTTCATGAAGGGTTAGTTACTGCAAGAGCAGGTTGCTCTCAAGGGAGTCTAACACTCCACAATACATCTGCTCTCTTTAGCCTATGTCTGCATGCTACTTTCACATGTCCTTTCATCATCTGCCATGTTATGGTACAGCATGAAGACTTCAGGTGACTGAATGATTGCTCATAATTGCCTCTCTGAAAACAAACAAACAAACAAACAAAAACAAAACAAAAAACAAAAAAACTCCGGCAGGAGTGAACCTGGTTGTCATTTTGGTTTCAGACGATGGATATTGAATTGTCCCATCATGATCTTCAGTGCCTTTACAACGATGATAAACCACCGGTTTCCCGTATTACTAATCCATGGTCATG